ATTTGAATGCCAGGCTTAGAAGTTTGAATTTTACTTCATCCTTTAAGACCTAGAGAAGACCTTTGCTTCCATAAATAAAAGACAGTATTTTCTTCCCAGCAGTCAGCACAGCTGACTTATTTTGGGCTCTGTTGTGTTAGCCCTGACACTGTCCTTTTGGCTTGTTTGTTTTTCTTTATTTTATAAAATAACCCAGTTAATTGTAAACAAATACAAAATAACCAAATCAGAAAATAAAAGCCGTACATAAATCCACTCCACAAATAGTCAGTTTAATATACCTTCCAGATAAATACACAAATATGTACATCACACAGAGACGCAGAGTCTTAATAAAAAAGCCACTTCTTTGTAATTCTCCATTTCTATACTTGCCATTACAGGAATACATTTATGTACAAAGTTATCAACTTAACTCAAAATATTTATGAGTTATATACATATTGGTGAAAAAAACTTTAAAACTACTAAAAATTCATAATCTCACTGAGGTCAGAAATATAATATTCACATTCATGATAGAAACTAATGTTTTCCAAAAACTCTTTTTATCCCATCCACATAGATAAATCCTTGTTGAAAAATTGATATACAGCTTTCCTCTTTTTTAAAAAAATTAAATTATATAACATATAAAAATGATGTTATATAAAATATAATATCCATTAAAACACATGCATATGTGTGTGTGGACACACTTTTAGATGCACACACACATAAGTATTTTAATGAAATTGTTGTCATTTCTACTCACAGGACTGAAGCTTGCATTTTTTTCATTTAACTTACCATGGAAAATGTGCACCTAGCTCTTCTTAATAGATTAAGAGCATGGATGCATTTAGCCATTCTTCTTATTGTTGAAAATGAAAGTTTTTTCTTTACTATGACTTTGAGCCATGTTTACTTTATGAATTTATAATACATTTTGGCTATGAATACAATCTGAATACACTTCTACTTTTTTGCCTAAAACTCTAGTCCAAAGATTGTTTCCAATGCTGGATGTTCTGGAGGTTACTCCCACAAACCAAATCTTCAAAGAAGTTCTG